ATAAGAATGTGTAAGCAAGAAAATATTTCAGTTGCCAAAAGATAGCGACGGGAGTGCTGCTTATAACTGGCCATGTGCAAATTATATCTTGAATTTGTATCAATTAAATGGAAAAGCACTATCAATGTGTCTGTGTACCGGTGGGGGATATCAATATATATCGGCTGAATTTTTCGTACATTAAAGTTCTGTAACTGTCCAGTTTATGGGAAGGTCAATTGATGTTTGTGTATGGTTAGGGTTTTGTGAATTTCCTCACTTTCGCCTCACAATTAGGAATTTTCCCCCCTTGAGACATGCAGCAAGTGGCTTGGGTCAAGCTTGAAGCCAGCTGCCCTTTCGTAAATCAGTTAATTTAATGCGTAACAAGGCCGAGTTCTTTAGAAATTCTAAACTTGACAGGGGGAGTCATAAATTTAGCAGCGTCGTTTCCTGCTAACCCAAAATCTCAGTTTGGCAGCCACGCAGCAGGTGGCAAAGTTCACCCCTAAACTGTACACTAGTGGAGATTCGCTTTCCTAATTGGAGGAGAATGATAAGCAACCTCCCAGTCTGCCCGGTCCAGCCAATCATCGTCTGAAGTGGGGGGTCCTTTGCCCGAATTTTGAGTAACCAGGGCAAGTATTTACCATTCAGAGGGTGCTTGGCAAGGAGACTTTGAAAGTTACGTTCACCGGGGGTACACGTGTTCGGATCCCCGTAAACACGCCCTGTGGTAACTATTAAGTGTGCGTCCCCAGAACAGTAAGTAAGCCTACATCCACGAATCTGTGAAGTGTAACAATACGGGGCTGTTTCTATTTAATTAGTGCAAATTTAATAAAGACTCCATACAGTTAATTGGTGTTGTGGTGATTTCCCTACGCCTAAAGCCCCACTAATCACCCAAGTCGTGGCCAATCAACACGCCCTGAAAGGAATCGAATTGCTCTACCGGAGCTAGCAGAACCGAAGAAAAACGGTTACAGTTCTCATAGCTGAGTATCATTTTGACAGGAATATATGACAAAGAAAAATGAATATGAAAAATGGGGACTAGTAATATATGGAAAAAACAAAATACTCATACATTGTTGGAGGGGTAATACACGTCTATTAATTTAGAAGAGATGTAACACATGTATGGAAGCATGTACGTATAAAAAAAGGTAAAGTTCTCCCTGTAACAGGCTGTGGAGGCCCATAGGGTTGTGAGACGTCGAGGTTCCCTCATTTTCTAAATAATCAGCTCTCAGAAGAAGGTGAGGTTTCTCAGCCTTACACTCCGGCCAACCTATACCTCCAGGAATACTCCTGGTACTCATTTCTGTTAGAGGCTGAGTCGACCCCAGTGCCATAATGCAGATAGAAGGATTAGGTAAATTGGAAAATGCAATTACCTCATCGGAAATCGAACCCTCGACTTTCTGGCTTGTAGCATAGTGCCTCAACTAATTACGCTACAAAGAGATTTCAGCATATACGTGTACGTATTCAGGTACAAAATTGATACAAGCGGTAACCGAAATATTAAACAGAAAAAGGATTACTTAGGAAGCTGGAGTAATGAGTTCCTTAAATTCGGTATGGTAAAATGTAGATGTCACTCTAGCCGAGCGGTCTAAGGCATGCACTGTCTTCGCTCGCTTGAAAACCGGGATCGTGGGTTCGGATCTGTTTCCTGTGAGGTACGAACTGAATTCTTATATATTATTCTTATACACTGCCGGTCACAGTAGCCGAGCGGTCTAAGGCATGCACTGTCTTCGCTCGCTTGAAAACCGGGATCGTGGGTTCGGATCTGTTTCCTGTGAGGTACGAACTGAATTCTTATATATTATTCTTATACACTGCCGGTCACAGTAGCCGAGCGGTCTAAGGCATGCACTGTCTTCGCTCGCTTGAAAACCGGGATCGTGGGTTCGGATCTGTTTCCTGTGAGGTACGAACTGAATTCTTATATATTATTCTTATACACTGCCGGTCACAGTAGCCGAGCGGTCTAAGGCATGTACTGTCTTCGCTCGCTTGGTTCGAATCCCACTCAGGCATGGCTGTTTAGTGTGTGTGTGTCCGTTTTTCTGTGTTTGTGTACAGGTAGAGGCCTTGCGACGAGCTGATCACCCGCCGAAGGAGTCCTACCGAATGTGTAAGATCTAGAAAAGCCGAAGTGAACGGAGAAGTTCATGGAGGTAGGCCTAGGCCCACTGGGGCTGTAGTGCCAAGGAAAAGAAAAATGTAGATGCGACCAGCAATAGAGAAGTAAATTTGCATGAAGAAATAATTAGGAATATTTTAATATGTGGATCTAAGATGCGGAAGACATGATAGAAATGGAGCCATATACTACTCTGTACTGAAACTGACTCTGAGGAAATCGCCTGGAATATTCTTGTGGAGTAATGCTGGAAACATAAAAATAGGAGGAATCAAAAGGACAGAAGATGTGACGATTTGTACACAACTACACAAAAGAAAAGTATTTGTTGTCATGGTCATGACAAACGAATGAGAGATGGAGGGCTACCAAACATAAATCAAATTTCATAAATACAGAAGAAGAATGGAAGAAAGACCGCGATGAAGTTGATACGAAGCAGGAGACGGCAATGATGACTGGGCATCTGTAAACTGATCTTTTGACAAAGGAAAGCAAACTAGTCACTGGAATATGACGTCAGCTTTTCTAAACCGGATATGTGCCAACACGTGATCCGAGGGATTATATCGCATAACGAAGGCATATAATTACAATATTGCAGGTCCTACATAAACAGGTCTGCCATACACTATTGGGATATTCATAGAAAACAAACTTCACGAGATGTACACTCCGATTTTCTTCAAATATTACACGTACAAATATTGTATGTACTCCAAATATTTGTTAGTCTAGATAAGCAGAGGGGCCTCCTTTGAAGGCCCCAGTGACGTATCCAAAATAAATTATTATTGAATTACATTTCAATATCAATAATAACGCGTTTTATTTATTTACAAACCACCTGATAATGGTTCATGCGACCGAAATATGTAGTGGTTGAAAAAGAGAATAAAGGTGATGAAACCATTGACATATTTATTAATTATTAGTTTCAATCAATTAGCAGTTGCCTGAGGATGGCCTTATAGGGCCGAAACTAATCACAACATAAAATAAAAATGTGATTTCAATGTCATTTTAAGAAATTTAAATGTGAGCGTAAAGACATTTTAAAATAAAATTTTATGTTCCATTAGAGCCGGAAACAAGTGGATGAGTGATGTATCAATGCAACAGGATGCTGTATAATATTATTTTGAATTTTTAATAAATTTTATTAAAATTTCATTTACTTCCTTTTGTTTACGGTTCTCTATATTATAACTCAGCAGGTTACCATTTTTGGAAAAAGAACGATAAATAAACTTTTTTCAAGATCTGCATGGAATGGCCGTCTCCGTGGTCTAGTGCTCAGAGTTCCTCGCTAGAGATCTAGAGGACCCGGGTTCGATTTCCGGCGCTACCGGATTTTCTGAGAAGTTGTGGGTCTGGAACGTGGTCCACTCAGCCTCGTGAGAATAACTGAGGAGCTGTTTCAAGGAAACAGCGGCTCCGGTCTATAAAACCGAAAAGCCTTGGGGATTCGTTGTGCTAACAACGAGACACCCTCTATCCGTTAAGTTGGCACTAACTTAGCCACAAGCGGCGGTTGTTCGGTCGGTATAGGTCGCTTGCGGACTAAAGTCACGGAATTTGTATTTTGTTTTGTTATCAGGTTTTATGTGCAATTGCAGAATCCTATTGAAGAGGGCGTATGACGCAGACTGTCAGTTGCCTAAAGATGCCTGCAGCTTCCGCTTATCAAGTCCAGCAGAATTCACTGCTGCTGAACAAGACACAGGACCAGTTCTGCTCCTTATATTTGGAAAACGGTAAACACTAGCTTTTTCATCATGGAGTGGAATTTACTCTATATAGCCAAATGTGGATTTCCTGTATTCTAGTGTCTACTACTTTGTGTGTATAAACGTCTACCTACACAAACTCTAGCCACGTCTGGAAAAGAATATTGTGACATGTCAATGCATTGCCAGGCAACGGCTCGATAAAAACTTCCGCGATACGAACGCTCATCAATAGGACGAATGTTTCGTTGTTAGGCAACAGTCAGCTCACCAATGGACTGGCTTTATAGTTATCACGTGACTTGTTTTCTGTGTGGTCTGCACTACGCAACAATGGAACTGTGTTTTCTGTGCTTAGCCGCTTTTTAAGTTTCCTAATCTATACACAATTTGTAGAAATCCTTGGACGGGGGATGAGACCGTCGCAAGGCCGCTACCTACACACAGAACAAACCCATACAGACATCCATGCCTCGAATGGGATTCGAACCCACGTCCCCAGTGTTCGAGCGAGCGAAGACGGTTTCATGCCTTATATTGTGCGCCCACTGTGATTGTAAATTATATGTTTGAAATGATGTACCATTGTGCGCCGACGTTCGCCTGGAAGTTCTTTGGAAAGCCACATGAAACAACAATCAAAATAACTAACATCCTGCAAAGAACTGGACCCGGGACCTACCGAGTACGAAGCTGGCAGTGCTACTCATAGTTACTCAACCTCGACTTTCGAGCAGACGGATTTGAATTAAATCTATTTTAAGCGACGTAGAAAAAAATGCCGTCTTTTGGGGTGTGGCCTCTTGTAGATATTGTGTTAACCGACGTTTCGGATGAACGTATCGCCTCCATCTTTAGAGTATAAAAATCCGCGAACGAGGAACCAGCGTCAGTAGGTGGCTGAAGATTTCTCACGCTGGTTCCTAGCTCGCGGATTTTTTATACACTGAAGAAGGAGGCGATACGGTCCTCCGAAACGTCGGTTAACACAATATCTATACAGGGTCACATCCCAGAAGACAGCATTCTTCATAGTCACAGCCGTGAAACCCTCAAATCTTACAACGTAAAGAAAGTCATGGATAATTACAGTTGTAGAAAGTGGGGTGTGTTTACAGGCCAGCTGAACTTACCAAGGACTCCCAGCCGGAAGTTCAGAGTGACGACGATGACATGGCCGTAGCTGGCCAAGACGCTGCCGTCATAAGGATTACCAGAGTTCCACTCGTAAGACTCGCCGTGTATGTACACCATTACAGCATACGGCGCCTCCAGTCCGCGGTTTCCTGCAACCAGATTGTAATGAGCGGCTCACTCACTGGTCCTGCACCACTTACAAATGAGATGAACTTAATTTTACGCATGCGTAACTTATATAAACCAAGATCGAAACGTTTCGCTGCCGAATTAAATGCACCAGCTCAAATAACAATTCAAGGACACCGCCACCTAAACACTGACGTTGGCAGTAGTAGCTCTGAAAGATTAGCTCTGATTAATTAGTGATAAGCTTAATTTTTTTCCTTGGCTCTACAGCCCCAGTGAGCCTAGGCCTACCTCCATGAACTTCTCCGTTCACTTCGGTTTTTCTAGATCTTACACATTCGGTAGGACTCCTTGGGCGGGTGATCAGCTCGTCGCAAAGCCTCTACTTGTACACAAACACAGGAAAACGCACACATACAAACTAAACATCCATGCCCTGTGTGGGATTCGAACCCATGATTCCGGTTTCCAAGCGAGCGAAAACAGCTACCGTGACCGGCGGTAGGCCTAATACTGGCCTCGAATTAATGTGACTTCTTCACTAAGAGAATAGAGATGTTAGAGGTAGCCCCCCCCCCCCGCTCTCTGAGCTTATGAAGAGTTGTACTTCTTTTCCCCTTACATCCCCACTGACACACCTATTCTCACAGACACTACTTCGTCCTTCTTAGCTCCAAATATTTTCCTGAGCACTTTATTCTCAAATTCTTGTAATTTATGTACTTCCCTCAAAGTAACAGACAATATTACATTCCTCCACAAAATAAGTGGATGTACAGAATACTTCATTATTACACGCCGTGTTTCACGAGATGATTTCCGGATATCAAAGTAAGTAAAAGAACTCACTAAAGTCTTTCTTACGTAAGGTAGAGACATTGAAAGGTGTCAGTTCCTGCCGCCACATTCTGAAAATCCGACTATTTTTTTCTGTGGGAATATTTGGAGTGAAAGTGGGGCTTCTTAAAAATAGAAGAGCAAATTCGGGATCTTTGCATGTTTACGAATTTCCTTCCATGTAGAAGTGAGTATTGTATCCGATCATATAGAAGCCACTCGCCGACCTCTATTAAGGAACTAAAAGTAAAGAGTTTATTAATAGTTCTTTCATCTGTTTTCATCTTACGCGCAACCTGTTAATCTTAGAAGCATTTAAGGTGTGACCATGGAATGAGGAAATCTGTATTACTATTTTCATACAAGCGAAGTTCAGGGTCTTCGACAGCGGAAGGAATGATGGGCGATCCACAACTGAAGGAAGAGCTTCCAGAATATATTCCTCTTTTAATTTACTTCTCGAATGAATACTGCTGCTATTTAATGGCCAGGAATTCATTTTCTACCTTGAAATATTATGAAATTGACCCATTAATACGAAAATAATAACAACTTCAAAAGAATGGTATTTGACCTACAGTAAGGTACAACATTGTATGTATTATATATCCAGTCAGAGAGTCCTCATTAAAACTTTAAATTAGCCAGAAGGATTATTATTTTGTTTATGACTGGGATTTTGTGGAGTTGCACATGTTTTATACGAACTGCGATTTATATTTTTTTTATTCAATACCTATGAAACCTGTTACTGACCTTGCATATTACACAAAAGTAACAAAACGCTATTCTCAAATTTTGCGTCCTGTTGCATATAGTAGTTGAGTATGTGAGACTTTCAGCACATGAGAATGGCCCCTTAGGGTTGAAACATATTAATAAACAACTGTTGCGTTGATGGTATGATTTGTATATGTTGATCGTAAAACAATTCACTGAACTGAAAAATATTCCTGCCAATTCTAAGTAGTATGACATAGCAAGCATTCAGCATTTAAATATCTGTAAAACTTTGTCTGATAACACCGTTCAGGGGTGTCTTAAATGAAACTGGAAGGGACCTAAAAAATGTTTGGGAAAAAGTATACTTTTCTGAAGTTCATACGCGCACTTCAATGGCGTCAAGGAAAAAAGCAGAAGTCGGAATAGACTTGCAGACACTTTTGTCCGTGTGTTGGGTTTATATGTAATGAGTTGCAATAACAATCAAGTGCGATCTGCCCAGATAAAGACGGCGTTTAGCTGATAATACAACGATCATCTCAAAGTGAATTTCCTGAACAAGTTTCCTGGTTTCTTACGCGGCTCATTACAACTCCACAGAGTCCACTGCAACATAACCTACATTTCCAATTCTAAACTATCTCATTCAAGAATAACTGCGTAATATTCAATTATCGAAAATAGACATGTGATATAATCATGAAGAGATAAAACAAAACGCATTCTGATCATCTGACACTGGATATACAGAGTTACTACAAAGGATTCATTCCATTTCAAAACATTATATTGGTCGCCCCGTGCTTTTCCGTTTACACAGACAACCAGTATCCTTAACATATTTTTTTTAGCGTGAACAATATTATATTCTGGGATATTATGCCGTGTAGTCTGGTAGATATTTGCTGCTGCTTTGGATGAATGCGCTGACTCCGTCTATAGGTCCTAAGAGTAAGACAAGCAAGAAACAAACAGCAAGCAACAACAGTAAACTTCTACCAAACTACACCGTGTCATTTCCTAGAAGATTAGTGTTCTTAGGCGTCATAGTACGTGAGTGTCTCAGATCTTCAGAAAACTATTCGGAGCTTGCGTTAATTAATTACGAAATTATTGAATGTCGTAGTAAATATATAATGACAGAATTTTCAGCCAGTCGCACTTCGGACTTACGTTTTAATGCGTTCCCGAAAAGAAGTTATACGTCGAAAAGGACCTATATTGTTAATGTCTGCAGCTTAAGACTCAGATGCAGTTTCAACATTTTAAACCTTAGTAAGCGATAATTCATCAGGGCCTCGGCATAGTTCAAGTGGTTAGTCGTTGGCTTCCCACCGCGGTGGCCCTGGTTCGATCTCTGGTCCTGTCAAGTGGGATTTGTGGTGGGCAAAGTGGCGCTGGGGTAGGTTTTCTCCGAGTACTTCGGTTTCCCCTACTAATCTTCATTCCACCAGTTGCTCCACAATCACCCTCATCTATCATCTTGTGCTGGTACAATAGGCCAGAAGTGGCCGCAGTACAAGGGACTTAGTCCCACCCCACTAGCAATAAAAAATGATAAAAAAGAGATATTTCTGCTGTTTCTATTACAAAATCAATAAAGGGATAAAATGCCATAGACTTAAATATTTAAACTACTGTAAAACCTCGACAATCCAAACTAATGAAAGCATTGGTGTGCTCGGAATATAGAACCGTTCGGATTATTGGTTTTAAAACTGTAAAATCCGATTTTTAGTTAATTTATTTATTCAAGAGATTTATAGGTAAATGTTTTATTATAAAGATGATCGATACCTGCAGACGTTGCCTACTCGTCACGTCTGGTAGGCGGTTATAATCTTCACCACCCAGGAAGGAAGGTCCATTAATAAATAATATCATGTTTACATTAATTCATTTTTACTGCAAGGAAGTAAGAAATTAGATTAAATTAGTAAGATTTCAGGTGCCGTTTTTTCTTTTCGTACTGTGGGCCAGATCGGATTACTGCGAATCAGGCTTAACGTGAGTTAGAATTACCAAAGTTCCAATATATTCAAAATATTAAGAAGTACTTAAATTAGTTATTAAAAAGTATGTAAGTTAGTTAATATTTTGCAATGGATAGTTAAAGAGTCACTTATGGGGCTACAGGAGCATTATTAGTTGACGTAAGTCTGAAACTGTACTGCCTCTATGCTGTAGTGGTCATATTTCATGGCTACAGATCCAGAGGTCCCGTGTTCGATTCCCGGTGCTACTAGATTTTCTGACAAGTAGTGGGTCTGGAACGAGGTCCACTCAGCCTCGTAAGTATAATTGAGGAGCTATTTCAAGGAAATAGCGGCTCCTATCTAGAAAACCGAGATTAACGGCCGTGGGGATTCGTTGCCCTGACCATGCGACATCCCTTATCCGCTAAAGTTGACACTAACTTCGCCGACAAGGGGTGGTCGCTCGGTCGGTATAGTTCGCTTGCGGACTACAGGCCACGGAGTATAAGTTTAAATCTGAAACAAGAATTCTGAATTTCTATTCGTAAGTCCGAAAATTCGGCACGTAAGTCTGATGGGTGTTAATTTTGTGTGGTTTTAAGTCCAGAAATTCGTAAATCTTGAAGTCGTAAGTCGAATTACGAATACAATTAGTGGCTCTTTAGCCGAGTCAAGTAATTATAGTGTGGAGGTTTTCCTGCAAACGGCCACTTAGAAGAAAAAACCTATCTTGTCTTATAAGTAATCATATAATTGCTCGCTTTAAGTTTAATTATAAGAATTTGGGAAGAGAGAAATGAGACTTTGGGTTCTATACCAGGGAAATTTCCGTACACTCTGAGTAATTATCAAATTTCCCAGAAAGGTCATAGTTTACATGGAGATACACACAGAATCACAGTCAGATATGGAGATTCGCAGCGTTACTTGTGGTAACCCAGTGCAAGTTTCCTCATACAACTTTTATTACGAATTTTATGGAACTTCTAACATTGTAACCTCTTCAAACATCACATCCAGGTTACTTTACATGGAGCATTTTAACTTTTTTCTTTTACTTTTATACACCCTGCCAGTAACTTTACTACTTCTAGTCTTTGTTCTTCTGATATTCTTACGACCTTGCAGAGGAGAACATTTCCGTGTTTCTCGTCAAGTCATCATACATAATAATTAAGGTATCCTGTAGAAACAGTCGGGCGAGGTTAGTCTTGCAGCTATGTTTCAGCTGGGGAGTTACCTACTTAATTCCCCATCATTTCTAACAGCCAAAAGGAACTCTCCTAAGCTCCTAAAAAGCTTTCTCTGTGTATCTCACATCCTTTCAGCACACTTGAAAGAGCTCTTCCCTCTTGGAGCCAAATACACGCGTCTCGTCTTCCAGCAAGCTCAGAGGAAACAAAACACGGGTAATATATTCTGTAGTTTTTCCATGTCACCGTGGGATTTGAGCAAACTGCAGAGATACGAAATGTTTTAAGTAA